CCATCACAGTTGAGCTTCACTAGGCTTCGAGACACAAACCTTGAGATAGTAGATCACGTGGGCTTGGCCAAAGACACATGCCTGTAGGGGGCCAAATGACCACTATTATTGGTTGGCAAACGGGCGACGGATGGTCGCATTTAGCACAGATTCTGATTTAGAGACGTTCAATCATAATTTAGCGTAAGATGACTTTACGCCACTAATTTTTCAACCAAGTGCGATGATTAATTGTGCGAATCAACAGTTCTTTTCATACTAAATTGAATTATTATTGCAACACTTTCATCAGTAGGATGTAACTAACATTTTTCAGTCTAAACCTGACTCACGTTTTCTATTGGTGGGTGAAAAATCCAATATTTAGCAAATTTTGCTTCACAGTGATAGGATGAGCGAGCCATATTAACCACCAACGGATGTTGTGGCTCTTGATCGGTATTTGCAGTCCCTTGAAACTCACCCCATGCTTGTTGAGCTCGTTTCATCGTGGCTAAGGAGTTGGGTTAAACTTGCTAAAAAATGACCTCATTTCTCCCTTTTCAAATTTATCATCCCACCATGGCAATTCTACTGATCAGATCAATAGAAGAAGCCAGATTATCCATTTCTTCCATTTAGGTTGATGTCCATCTCTTTACTGAACTCAAAGCACCTCTATCCACCATATAGTTAAGGTCCATCTCAATCCAAATTCTCTGGGTCCTCTCACATTTGAAAAGCATATGCTCTATTGTTTCCTTTTTCAAGTTGCAAATTTGGCACATAAGAGAATCTACACATCCTCCTAAACAAATTTTTCTGAGTAGCCATAGCTTCAAAGCACACCTTCCGCCAGAAGTGTCTTATCTTTGGGACTGTCTTCAAGTTCTAGAATAGATGCCGTAACTTTGGGTGGGGTAGATGTGATGATGATTCCGCTTCAGAGGTCCTTCTCAGCTCCATATTCCACTCGACATGATACCGATTCTAGACTGAGAACTTCCCATTTGGGTTTAAAGCCCATATTCTCTTATCTTTTCCCTGGATTTTTGCAAAAGGGATTTTAATAACTGCTTCCCAATCCTCCCTCACCACCCAGCTCATCGACAAACCCAAATTCCATTCTCTAGTGGTTTGATCAATGAATTCACTCACTTTTGTAAGGTTGCATTTTGGAGTTCTAGCAGTTACAACCTTTAAGTTATATGAAGAGGATAATCACTTATCCTCCCAAAATAGATCATTCTCACCTATTGACCTTTCAAGTCGGTCCTTTTTCCAATAACTCTCTCCGTTTCAAAAGGCTAGTCCATATCCATGACGGTCTAGACCTTCTTTTTGCTTTCATGAAATTTTCATCGGGAAATAGATAGCCTTCATCATTCTAGTCCAGAAAGAGTTCGGATTAGTAATCAATCTCCAACATTGCTTAGCCAATAGAGCTGTATTAAAATTAAATACCCAAAATCTTTGGAACTCATTCCACCAGTTGCTTCAGCTTCAGTCATTTTCTCCCAATTCTGTTAATGGATCTTCTTTTTTATCCTCACTGCTGCCCCACTAGAATCGCCTAATATCCTGATTAATCTTCTAGCACACCCTTCAAGGAAAAGCTACACAAGACACAGCATAGGGAGGAGCTAGGTGCTTGTACTACGGCTTTAATTAACACTTTCTTCCTTCCCTGAGACAAAAACTTTTATTTCCAACCTTGCAACTTCTTTGCAATTCTTTCCACGTTAACACAATCCGTTAACACAACAAATGCGATATCAAATTAGAGGATTGAAGTATTCCTTAAGTCATCTATTTTGTAAAATAGCAGACCCAACACGACATAATTAATAAATAAATTACATTTATGTGAAACCAATTAAAAAAATAACCATTTATATATAGGTTATACATGTTTCATATACGACACGAACTTGATATGACACGATTCATTTGACATAAATTAATAAACAAATAAGATATCAATAAATTATTTTTTTGATAGAAATTTACTAAAATTCGATATAAACCTATCTCACCCGACACGATTAATTTACAAGTCTAATTTACCTCATACTATTTTATGAACCTTAGTAATTATAATCTTAACATATATGTAGATCAAAAACTTCTACAATGCCCGCTTAAAACGTAACATTAATAGATGTCTTAAGCTGACATTGTTTAATGATTTGATACTTCACAGAGTGAAAATGCTCCTTAGAGCCACCTTCCTTAGATTTAACGTTTGCGCGTGGGCACAAGTTGACTACTTGTCACGGTTTCAAGTGAGCTCGGTAGGTGGGGTTTTCCTGGGTTATCCAAAAAAATAAAAAAATGTAACATTAAATTTCATATTTTTAATTTGATGAAAATGATATATAAAAAATATACTTTTAAAAGAATTTTTCGAGGAGAAAATAAAATGTATGAAATGAAATGAATGGCCTTTGCCATGTTCTTTATGCGCCGTTTGGTAGATGAAAAAATAGAAGAATGAAAAAATTGAAAGATGAAAAGTTGAAAGAATACATAAAATATCATGTTTGATAATGAAGGAAAATAAGAATGATGAAAAAGTGGATGAATTACTTTTGCTTCCAACTTACCAAAATCAGAAAGAAAGCGATCAAAAATTAATTATTTGTGCTGAGATTTATCTTATTTGTCTATATATCTTTTAATATATATATATTAATTTCATATAAAAATAAAATGATAAAATATATTTTTATTTATATTTTTAAAAAAATTAAAAATAAATTTCAAAATAAAAATGAAAATTTTAAATTAAAAAATATTTTTTTCCATCTTAACTAGGGAGTGAAAATTTTTGACTTAACACGATGACACGACTCAAATTTAACACGAATTTTATGACACGAATTTGATTATAACTCGATACGAACTTGAAAATGACCTAACACGCAAACAAGAAATATGAAAGGCTCATATTCAGTTCAACCATTCAAACTCAAAAATGACATCATCAATCCATTTATTTAAAAATAAGCATTTTCTCTATTTTCTCGTTTGTAAGATAACACGAAACTAACATATTTAACTAGTATTATAGACATAAAATGTTAATTATTTGTAATTATTTATTAAACACTGACATAATTATTATATAAAAAATATATTTTTACTTATTATTATTATATTTATTTAAGTTAATTTTTAGTTTGTAGAAAAAATATTAACATGGATTAAATTAAGTGAAAATATAATATTAGCGTTAAATTTTTTATTCAAAACTTATGGGGGTCAACGCGAATACGACACAAAAATAAACATGTCAACTTTACACGACACAATTAATTAAATGAGTTGAGTTAGGTTTGACTAATATTCGACACAAACTCATAATGACTCAACACAAATTTGACACAACATGACTCGATTGCCACCCCTAATCTTAGCCGGTACAAAAAAAAAATTAGTCATTTTTTTTTTCTATCCATCTAATCAAACACAATATATATATATATATAAAATTCTTATTTTTTTTTCTTAAAAGATAAAAAATATATTTATGATACTTGATGGGTTAAGCCCAAATAGTCCAATTTATGTATTAAAGCCCAACCCCGGTTGAGGAGTCCAACCTCATTGTGAATCCACCAAGTCCAAGACAGACCAAGGCCGATTAGACTTCTTGTTTAGCACGTCACCAAGAGGAGAGCACGAGAAGTTTATCTGCACCGCCAAAGGAAACCGTCCAAATCCACCAAGTCCAAGACAGCCCAAGGCCGGTTAGACTTCTTGCTTAGCACGTCACCAAGAGGAGAGCACGGGAAGTTTATCTGCACCGCCAAAGGAAACAGTCCAAATCCACCAAGTCCAAGACAGCCCAAGGCCGGTTAGACTTCTTGCTTAGCACGTCACCAAGAAGAGAGCAAAGGAAGCTTATCCGCACCACCGAATGAAGGAAACGGTCCAATCTTTGACCACGTTTCATGAAGAGCTCCCCAACCTCTTCCTTCCGTTGAGGATAAGTCGTGATCTCCACCAAAGATAATCTCTAAGCTGCGATAAAGAAGCATTGAGGATATGTCATGATCTCCACAAGAATGATCTCTTAGCTACTATAAAATGGCTCTAATCTGGGAGAGGAAGAAAAAATGCTCCATCAGAAACTTACAGAAGACGAACCGACTACCAGAGATTATTATTTTCTTTGATTCTCCATTCCCCCTCTCAAAGCTTGTATCTTCATTCTCCATACCTTTGAATCAATAAAATACCCGGCGACTGAAGCCATTGAAGAGTGGACGTAGGTCGAATTGACCGAACCACTATAAATTGTGTCTTCTCTAATTTTTTCGTTGATTTCATTGCATTTATTATCTATACTTGACATGTGGTATGCAAAACCATTTTTGTGCATCATCAATACTTTATATCATTCATATCAAACAAAACAATGAGGTGAAAAGTGTCTCCTTTTCCATGTTCATACCTAAAAACAAATTCAATTTTTTTTTTTATCACAAGAGATCTACAATAAAAACAAATTCAGTTAAAAGGACCTTATTGTGCTCACATATCAATCAGTTGCGTTATCGATTCCATCAGGTAAAGCTACCGTCATTGAGTCAGGAGGACCCGTTATAACGTCCCGGATCTGGATCTATCCAAAGGTCTCACATGTAACATTGTACGCAAATTTAAACCCAATCGAACAAACACAAAATCACGGGGCTGACAATTTGTTGTCTTTCTCGTACGTGTCATGGTCTATAAACTTCAAAGACGAATCTCTTTTTAATGTGCTTTGGTTGTTTCTTTCTTCTTTCTGTCACTCTTCACAGAACTATAGAATCACGAGACTAGCTCCAATCTCTCTCTCTCTCTCTCTCTCTCACACACACACACACACACACGTATACACTTAGAGGAAGAGCATTCAGTGACACCCACAATTTCAGATAAATAGATAAGGAAGAAAGTAGTAAGATTTAGTTTCTTCAGTTCCATTTTTATCTTCAAGTTTACTCTGGAGAGAGAGAGAGAGAGAGAGAATGCAGGACTCTAAATCAATTGTCCATGAATACCCACAAGCAGTGTCTGACAGTGAAAAACGCTTTGACAATTCCCTTCAAGTTAGTCGATCATATGTCTCAGAAAACTCACTTCTCTGTATTGCATTGCCACATCTTCTGTTAATCTTTTCATTTCATTTTGTTTTCTTCTTGTTGCAGGAACTTAGAGACTTGCGTTCTCAGCTTTACTATGCTGCTGATTACTGCGAAGAGGCCTTCTTGACCTCGAAAAAGAAGAGAATGTAAGTGTCCCAAGACGTACAAACCACCACCATTTTGTGTCACTAACTGTTGAAATTGTTCATGAGTTTGAACTAGGTTGTCGTAAGCTGATATTGTCAAAAAGGTCCCAAAGAACTTTAAAACCTTGTGAACCCTTAGGTTGTGATTATACATGTATTTAGCACAAAGTTGTCCAAACATTGACAGATCAGTTTCAGTTTCAGTTTCCTAGCTCTACAATTAAGCTTTATGTTCATTGAGCCTATCATATACAGCTTGCAGAAAAACCTAAATTCAAGTGGCATTGCAATTTCTAGTAAGAGAAATGGAGACACAAACAGAACTCTTAAGACATACATAGAGGGAAGCCAGTGCCACTATTTTCAACTTTCATTTCAAAAGCAAAGTATCAATATTCAAAGAGCAATGTTATAGGACCTTATTTAGGGACTTAATGATGTGACTTCAAAAAAAAAATGATGTGGCTTCAATACAACCATTAGATTAGTTGTGAGTTTCAATGCTAAATGGAGCCCACAACCAATCCAATGGTTGTATTGAATTAGGTCCCTATATTAGGTTCCCAAATCAGGTCCAAATAGCATTTTCCATATTCAAAAGGCCTCAACCCACCGTTAATTTCATGAAATTGAATCTGTTGTATGATGCAAAAAAACAGAGTTTTAGAACTGACTTGTATAGGGACATTAGAAATTCATGAGGTTGAGTTGAGTTTGTACAATGCTTTGTTGAGTAGTAGAAGTTCATCATGAGCAGATTTATAGATTTGGTACTTTTTTTTCTCTTGTTGTATGCAGTGTATTGGAAAACACCAAAGAGTACCTGTGCAGGGCTGTTGTCACAGTTGTTGATCATCTGGGATGTGTCTCAGCTAATCTTGATTATAGGCTTTCTGAGAGCAATCAAGTTTCTGAAACAGAACTCCGGATTGACTGTTTGAAACAAGTTAGCACTCTCTACTGATTTACCAAATGCAGTTACAAGCTTTTGCGAAGTCTAAGAAGTTTACAATTGTTGTGGAGTTGTTAACTATCATGGAACTTGTTAATGCTATTACAATTGTTGGGGGGTTGTTAATTATCATTAAACTTGTTATGGTGTTCCTTAGAGACTTACCACATGCCAAGAATTTTTTGAGAAGCTTGCTCTGACTAAAGTATGTTGCAAACCCGATTTTCCAAGATATCATCCTCGCTATATATCAACACGTAATCAATCCATTTCCCTTTTCTCAATCTGCTTAGTGCTCAGTTCATATAACTTGTGAGTTGGCTTAATGCAATTTTGTTGTACTTCTTTTTTCAATATACTTCTCTAAATCAGTCATTCCAGATCTTCAGAGATCAGCTGAAGTCTACAGGTAACTTCCTCTCCCCCCTCTCTCCAATATGAAGTCATGGGAAATAATCGGAATTTGTCATTGTGACCTCAAGCGCAGGTATTGTGCTATCGTTCCATGATGGCACATGAAGCAGAAAATTTTGGTCACAACGAACTTGATACCATAGTTGAACAGCGATGTACGAAGCATAGGAGCTTGAGGTTGAATGGTTCTAATGAGCTTGGGTCAGTGCAGGGAATCAGGTATCTCAGCTGCTGATAAAGACACTAGCAAGCATGTAATTGAGACAGAAGAGGAAGTGCCAATTTTCTTATACAGAAACAATTGTGTTCCATCTTTAGTTGTTACTTCAAGAAGGGATAGTGATGCCGAGAAGAAAGATAGCTGCTCAGCTCCAGGTAGAACAATTTACATCAACCAGAAGCTAGGACATAACTGTTTTTGACACGGAGGAAGTTACATATACATAAATTTCATTCGGATCTTAATAGCCTTTCCTTTTTATTTCATAGTGTTATTGCCTGTTTGCGGTGGCCCATCCATACTTCCAAGAGCTCAATCTTTCCATTTCCAGGTGAATTAAATCTCTTGTTTCTTTGTTGTACCTGCAGACAATAAAATATGGTTCTTATTCCTAACGTTCTTGATTTTCCTTGTTGTAGGAGAAACGAAAGCTCAAACGCAACATGTTAAATTGGAAATTAGTGCAGAGCAATGACATCATATCACTCATCCGACGTGGTAAACGAATCTAAATTATTTGGAGACTGTCTGGTGGTTTTCTTCTAGTCATTTCAGGGGTCCACAGGTGTGGAGTAGTTCTTTAATGGATAGTTGTTTCAATTTGGATAGTTGCTTCATCTTTCTTGTAATCAACTTAGTTGGAGACCAGTGGGCACTAAGTTAGTAGAAAGACTGTAATCCCAAGTATTATATGTACCTTTTGTACCCAGAAGCAAGCTTGCAATATTAAGTTTATAAACCTGTGTATGAAAAACAGATCTAGCAGATGATCTTGTAAAGTTTCAGGTTGCAGCAGCATAGAGTAATGAAGCAATTCTCCACCCATCGAAACTGTTCTGGATTATCACAAGACAGAAACTTGCTTTGTTAACCATTGGAAAATAATTTCTGATTGTACTGTATAACTAAAATTATCCTACTTCTTTTGAACTTAAGATAAAGCTACTAGCCTGGTCAGTATAGATGGTAAACTGTTTCTTCAAGGTGCAGGGAAGTAAGAAGGGATAAGTTGCATTAATTCTGCAAGACGAAAAAGGCAGGAAATAAAGGGCAGTCTTGTGCACGAGGCACTTGGGAGAGGCTATTTCCACTACTCGAACCCTCAATCCCCAGGTGACCATGAAGATCAACCTTACCACATCGTGAAGGGCTGCCCTCAGGAAAAGGCGGAAAACAAGAAGAAAACAAGGATTGAAAATAAACATATAACTGCAGCTAAAACCACAAAGATAGATGAAGTAAACTAATCAGACCAAACATTGATAGCTCAAACTTGCTTATCCACAGAAGGAAGGAAGAACAGCAAAGGGAATAATAACCCAATTAACTCCTTTAAAACTCGGTATTTACATTCATTAGAGAAATCTCTCTACTACTAAAGATATTGCCTCTCCTTGTTAATCCATCCCTCTCTTGCTGTATCTTTCTCCTTTCTCTTTCTGCTTCTAACTATTAATGGCGAGCAGTTGGACTTCTTAGGCCATTCTCGAGTTTATCAATGTACGAAAACTTCTTGTTGGTCACAATGTTACCTAGTTTGTTTTCATCCTGTAAGGTTAAGTTACTAGTTGAGAGATTCTTTTTCATGCCTGTGTCTCCCTGCTCCAGATTCCAACCCATGAAGTCGGATAGTGTCATTGATGTCGGCGTATCTGCAGAATTCAACTTTTCTGTCTCTTCCATGGAACTGATGGAACTCGGTGGTTGTGGTTGTGGTGATGGTGAGGAGTCCATTGACAGCTTCTTTCTGGATACTGGAAGTGATGGATCTTGAGTGAGAGAATCAACATACAGGACATCTTCAATACGAGACATGACTGTATTGGCCAAGCTTTCTAGTACCCTTGAATAGCTCTCCAGAATCGAATGCCCGACATCCTAAGTAGTTCAGAAGAAAATTAACAAGGCTTCAGTCTTATTCATCTTAGATATAAATCTGTGTGTGCAACTGAGCCAAAAAAGATCCCTCCTGCAGTTTGTTTGTTCTTACTCCGTTATATTGGATTTTACTTATGTCAAGTGCGGATTGAGGAAGTCCTGGAAAACGTTGTTTGAGTAGGAGTAAGATGGTCTCTGCTCTCTCTTCAAAGAGCTCCCTCTTCTCTACGCTCACGGCAGAACCCCAAGAAGACTTTGTGTCCTTTTGGTGCATCTTCCTCCTCCAAATCACAATAGATGCCTCAATTCTGTTCTTGAGGTCAAGAATTTTATGCTCTGATGACATGTCCATGGTTGAAAGGAATTGCTCAGGTGCAAAAAACTCAACCGTAATGCTCTTGTAGATTGAATCACCAAGGCTTGATCTACCATTCTACCAAAACAAATAACAGAAAAGATTGAACGAAGTTTGGCATTAAACTTGGACATGTCTCTGAGAAGTAGACTTCTTTCTTGTTATACCTTAGGGAGAGATTCAATGTAGTTTTCGGGGACCTCCATTTCTGATAGTATCTGAGCATTGATAGCCATGGATGCTTTCAAGACTTGGTTGACACATTCCTTTTGATATTGAAGCCATTTCCGTGATGCATCTGATAGCCCATTTGGGGGAACCTTAACTGTGGGTAGCCACCATTTGTCATTTCTTTGGATGCCTTTTTCAGACTCATCAGCATCTCTTGAGACATACCAGAATTCATTGTGTTCTTTGAAGTTGTCAAGACAGTCCTGTTCGTGATCATTTGATCAGAATCACATATGATATAGCCCATAAAAATATGTTACTGTAACAATGACATAAAAGGAGACTGCAAGTTCTCACAATAAGCATTGCATCAAGCTTGCGCAAAGCCGGGATGTTCATGAGCAGATCTCTTCTTTGCTGAGTTATCATTATCTGCCAAATTTAGGAACATTTGCCAAGGTCTATAATATGTTAATATCATAAGAGAATGTCCGGCAGAAGAGAGTTCCAATTGAAGTTTTCAGTTGATGAATATGACAGAATAGGATCTTTTTTTTTTCTTTTTCTTTTTTTTTTTTTTTTTTTTTGGGGGGGGGGAGGGAGAGAGAGTGAGAGAGAGATTTGACCTCCATATTTGTTCCATCCTTTGATCTCTGTTGAGAAGGGACAAATTCAACAATGTAATCCGTAACAGATAAGAGCCAATCGATTTCTTTTCTCCACCTTACTTTCCTATCTGCAGACATAGGCTCCAACTTCCTTTGTTCTCCAAATACAGAAGCTACAATAGAGTTGACAGAGAAGATACATGGCAAATTTATCAGAATTTCCCACACTTTGCTAGTTTTTTTTACATGAACGGCATAGTATTTACAGCAAGGACAAGGACAAGGACAAGGACAAGCCCTGTTCAGAGAGAAATTATGGAAGGTATGGAGAACAATAAAGAACCACCACATATTTTAGAAAAATAGATATAAACCTCTTGGATTATTAATCCATATGTTTCTTCACCAATAGCCTTTCACATTATTGACTCATCGTATTGTAAGAGGTTTTTTTTTCTCAAGCTTACCAGCAAGATTTGTAATGGCGTTTGACAAAGCTAAAGCAGATGAAACACCCTTCCCACCACCGGAATTGTCCTCCCCCAAAAGCAGCTTAGCAAACCTTTCCTTCATCAACTCGATATCTAATGCTCAAAACAAAAAGGTAAATGAGATTCCTGGGATGGTTGACAATATTCAGATGTCATGAAATTTGTGAACATGTTCCTAATCAATTCAGAATTTTCCAAAACAACATAAGAGATTTCTTCATTGTATCAAATGTTAATTTCATCATATAGCTGCACTAGAGAATTTTGTAACAACATATTGATTGGATGAGTTGTAAAAACTAGTGCAACTACCAGAAACTTGCCGGTCCTTCCCATGGGGACCGCCTGCTCTATCTCCATCCTTGCTGAAGCGCGAAATTGGACCCTTATCGTTTGATCGATTGAAAACAGTACCTACATGTTGGGAATCTAATGCAACAGGTCTTGCACCTTGACTTCTGAATTGCACATCCACAACCCCTTTATCATCTCCATTCTCCAAGATTAAACTGTGCGCTTGTCGTCCTGAAAAATCAAACATCTTCTTAAAATTGAAAAGAAGTCGATTTCTGAATCTTGTGTTTCTTCTTTAACCATTATACGATCAATTCCTAAGGTTTTTCACTGATAATTTCAACATTTGGACAGAAAAAATGAAGATTAATGGCAATCATGAAATCCCTGTACAAGGAAGGAAAAATGAGGTAATCTTTGTTCAAAAATGGAAAACAGGGATTAAAGAAAAAAAAAAACCCTTCTCCGAAATGAGAGGCTAAAGAAGAAATGGAAAGGGTTTTTCTGATTCTGGAGATTCTGCGGTTTACTTTTTTTGAGCTGTGGAACGTGGGGTGCATGTTTGATTGGAAAAAATGGAAAGTTGGTCACTGTTGGTGTAAGGAAGAGAGAGAGAGAGAGAATAAACAAGGTATTTAGATTTCTTTTGAGGAATGAATGGTTGTTTTGTTTAATGGCGGCAAAAAGCCCGGGAAAGACATACTAGGACAACTAACTCTTCTTCCGGCTGGACAACCAATTCTCTCTCTCTCTCTCTGTCCAGCAACCTTGCATTTCTCTTCCCTTGACCTTTTGAATTTAAAAAAATAGTAATATTTTTTAAATTTAATTTAGAGACTTGACCAGACAAAGCATTTTTTTTGGGAATGGTGCCAAAGCACTTCATATTACTATTAAATTATCAATGAATATCATTAATTTTGATGTCCATTCTAATAGATTATTTAATGTGTGTCGCTTTTATTTTTCTTTATTTTGATTTTTTATACTTTTCGGGAGGTGAGGGTTGACATTTCTTAAATTGATAGGAGACTTCATATAATTTTAAAACTCACGACTAAATTTTTTATTAAATTTTCAATTAAGTTCTTGAATTTGGTCACACTGTTTCATCTATATCATTTTTCAATTTTTTTTTTGGGGGGCGGGGCAATTGGTGTGGGTGTGGGATACGACATGCATCAAACTGCAATTGCTATACTCTTTTCAACGTTATTGTCGGGTATCCATTTTCCCCATGGTCCAGTCCATTTGTTCGGAGACCTATCGATCATTGTATGTTGGGTTGGATCGATCAGAATGAGCCCACGTATTTTATGTTTTTTTATTACGTACTTGTTATTTTTTATTTTTTTTATTACGTATATGTTTTTTTTATTACATACCTATTATTTTTAGCCCAAAAAATGTGTGTGTGTATTATATATATATATATACACTAATAATAACCCGTGTCTGAATGTACGATGCAATATAAAAATCGAGACATTTGATTGAACAAACATTAGCATAAAAATTTCAATCCATTCCATTATATAAACAATAAAAAACGTGTGATTGAGTGATGCTCAAAGAGTAAGGATTCGTTTATGACCATTCTAGATTTTACTTTCCAAATACCAAAGTTTAAAAACAAAAAATATTAATCATGCGTTGTACGATATTACAGAGTAAACATGTGTCAGTGATCGTGGCCTTCCAATGCAATAAAATTAAGGGAAAAGTTCAACTGCATCCTCTCTATTTTACCATATCTTCAAGGACACCTCATCTATTTTTTGAATTTTCAGTGACACCTCTTGTCAGATTAAAAATATTAACTAAAATGCAATTTTACTAAATTCTCCATGATATATTTGAGAAAAAAATTTCATCCACACCCCCTCTAGATAAGCATATCTTTAATGAGACCCCCTCTAAATAATTATATCTTCAATGAGACACCCTCTATTTTCTAATTTTTTTTACGTATTAAAATTCAAGCTGCTTAAAATTCAATTTGAGTTGATTACAATTTGAGCCAATTAAAATTTATATTTTTTTAAGTATTAAAATTTGGGCTAATTAAAATTTTATTTGAGCTAATTAAAAATTATTTTTAATCGATTAAAATCAAATTATAATCAATTCGCATTGAATTTTAATGTGCACAAATTTTAATATATAAAAAATATAAATTTTAATTGACATGAATTTTAATAAATAAAAATATATAAATTTTAATCGACTCGAAAGAGAATTTTTATCGATGCTAACAACTCGGATAGAGGTCAATCGGCTCAAATTTTAATATGTAAAGAATAAATTTTAATAGGCTCGAATTTTTTTTTAAAATTTACGAATTAGTAAATAACAAATTAGTATTTGCTAACAAATTATTTACTAAAATTGTTATATACGAATTTTTTTTTAAAATTTTAACACCTCGAATTTTAATAAAATTTTATATAAAAAAATTACTTGAGGTTTGGATGATTTTTTTTTTTGTTAGAAATTGTAGTTTAACAATAGGGGATGTTAGTGATGTTTAAATTAAACTAGAATGGGTGTCAGTAATATTTTTGATAATAGAGAGGGTATTCTTGAAGATATAGTAAATTAAGAGGGGTGTGGGTTAAATTTTCCCTAAAATTAAAATTCTAAAATCCTAATCAACCCCCTTGCTATGCTGTTATGACTTCAATTGTTAGCCCAAATTGAACTCACGTATTAAAGGAAGTCCTGAAAAACAACACCCTAAAAAAATACTACGAAAAAATTTCATTGAGGCAAAACAACAAACAATTTAAAATCATAGCCTTTAAACCTAAGAAATCATGTAATCTATTGCCTTCATAAAGCACCATTGTGTATATGTGTGTGTGTGTGCGCGATGAGTGTGTGTTCTATATGTTCTGTTGTGTGCGTGTTATATGTTCTTTGCATGTGTAAGTGCTAGGTTTGTGTGTGTTGTGTATATTCTATGTTTGTGTGTGTGTTGGGTGTGCGTGTTCTGTTGGGTGTGCGTGATTGGTGTGTTCTGTTATGCGTGTGTGTATTTGTGTTCCATTATGTGTGCGCTATGTATGTGTATGTGTGTTCGGTGTGTGCCATGGGTGTTTGTGAAATGTGGTGAAAAAGAGGAAGAACAAAGAAGAGAAATGGAGAAAATTAGGCAAACTTTAGAAGGTTAGAGGACTTCCCGTGGTTCTGGATCGCTGGAGAGAGGAGAAAAAAGGGTGAAAATCCCTGAAAAACAACACCTTAAAAAATGTTGTGGAAAATTTTCATTGAGGCAAAACAGCAAACAATTTGAAATCATAGTCTTTAAACATAAGAAATCATGTAATCTACTGCCTTGATAAGTAGAGGTGTGAGAAAGAGAAGGAAACAAAGGGTGGGTGTGTCTGTGTGTGTGTGTGAGAGAGAGAGAGAGAGAGAGTAGAGGGTGGGGGTTTGAACAGAAATTGGAGGGTTTGGGGTGGGGATTGTTTGTGTTTGTGTGTGGTGTGTGTGAGAGAGAGAGAGAGAAGCAGAGAAAGGCATGCCTAGGGGGTTGGTTGTGGTTGTGGTTGTGGTGTCGCTTGAGATAACGTAGCATAGATAGAGAGAAAGATAGAAGGG